CGGGTACGAGTTCGATCGCGTGATCGTAAGGCTTCCTTTCGGGTAGCCGTTCTGACGCTTCCTTTGAGAAGACATTCAGGAACTCGTGGTACTGTTTAGGTACCGACTCCTCGGCGGTCTTAACGACCTTCTTTTTGATCTCCTCCTCAGCGAACAGCTGGGAGTACGTATGCCCTGCTGCGACGAACAGCTGAGGGGCACCAGGAAGCGTGATGCCTTGCTCCCAGGCTTCGATCAAATCGGCCTCATCCCACTCTACTTCCGTCGGATCTTCTTCGGGTTCGAAGTCCGGGAGTACCTTGCTTCGGCAAGCGCCTATGACCGACCGTTTGGACTTCGGCGAACACCTGCGCGCCGTGGGCCTGACCCCCGTATCACGCGCAGTCGCTGCTTGCTCCATCCGGCCAGTCCTCCTGGCACTGCACGTTTCAGGGCACCACGACAATTTGAGGGAGCCTTTCTCCCAATCGATTTCAGGGTTGTGTTCGCGCAGCCAATCCAACCCAATGATCACATCCTCTGGACCGATGTCCGTGACCGTGAACACCGTCTTCTCGACGTGTTCTCCTATGTGCATCTGTAGCACTGCTACTTCTGAGATACTTCCGTCTTTATTCAGGGTGCCGTCAATATTATAGAGCGGAATAGGCTCCTTCAGCTTCCGCGTCTGCACCTTATTCTTTACGATAAATCACTTATTGATAAACTTCGTGGTGGCTCCGCTGTCCACCATAGCGATTATGTCCTTGTGCCGTCTTTTCCCTTGAAGTCGAACTGGGATGTGAAAATGCTGGGACCCCTGGTCCAATTCGTACACCATCGCAGTTGACAATACGTTATACTTGTTACAGGATATACTCGGCCTGACGCGTGCGGCACGAAGCGCGGACTGGATCAAAAACCCTCCTCCTTCATCGCCCGATAGTGCTCGAGCTCCTCGCGCATCGACTTCATCTGTGCTACTAAGTCCGCCAGCTCGGAACTTTCCGATTTCGCTGAAGCGGTGCTTGTACTCGCCGAGGGTGAAGCGACGGGGGCGCTTGTCGCAACCTGGGTGGAACCCGAGGCAACCGTAGCCCGCGTGTTGGTGCGTTTTGTGTAAGGCTTGTCCTTACAGTTGGGGCACTCGAAGCGTCGGTACCCTTGCTTCCCACAGCCGTAACAATTGCCGGGGAAATTGCCTTTTACGACAGCCGCATTGATGCTGGCCGAAGCTCCGTGTGACTGGGGCGCACCACCACGTGCCCCGCCACGTCCTCGACCTTGAGCCGAGAAGAAACTGTTCAACTCAGGCCGGCGGGCCCGGCTGATATCGAGGATTTGTTCAACCTCCGTGGCGCGCTTGTCAGCGTCTTCCCACGTGGTGAACGTCTCGAGCTCGATTTTGCGATAGACGCGGGAGGGGATGCCGCTCAGGTACTTGTCGCGTAACTCCAGGTCCCCATACCCGGAGCGGTCCGCCGGACCCTTGAACAGCGCGGAGAACTCTGCCGCAGTGCGTTTTTCACGGACCGATTTGTCCGCGCAGAGTTTGGCCAGCTCTACCTGGGCCGCTGCCTCATCGTCGAGGTTGCCGAAGCGGGCTTTGAAGGCTGCGGCAAAGGCCGCCTCATTTGCGAAGGGGGTCGTCACTCCTTGAACACCGAGTTGCATGGATACGAGTTGGGCGAAGTATGGAGTGGCCCAGGTGCGGGCGTCACCGTCGAGCAGGCTCAGTGCCACCTGCACCTTGAGTTCAATGGTGGTCAACGACGTGTTGACCAGCCAGTAGATGCGCAGCTGCAACAGGAACCTGTCACACTCGATGACGGTTTTGCCGTCATACCGGAGGGGAAGGAGAAGCTTCAGGGTCTCCTTGTCGGGGGCGGTCGAGGGAGACGACATTATCGGCGTCGGGGGGGACGGAGGACGGCGCGGGGGCGGAGGCGGCTGTGGTGGCCCTCCGCTGGTCGGACTTCGAGGGGAGCGAGTGCGTGAGCGGCCTCGCGGCGGAGACGGCGGTGAAGGCGCGGGAGGAAGCCCGGGGGCGGGGTCACGTACGTCAGGGACTGCTGACGCGGGGGCGAGCGCTGTCGACGAGGCGGGCCGAGCAGGATCCGTGGGCTCAGGCTCCGAGACTCCTTCTTCACTTGCACTCTCCTCAGGCTCTCGCTCTGGCGCAGGGTCTGGAGGGAGATCTCCTCGCGCTTGACTTGGACCGGCGACCGGTCGGGGAAGACGGGAGCTGGGGGAGACAGGGCGAGAATGCCGCGAGGCGGATCGAGATGCGAGGGTGCTTCGAGGACCGAGTGGATGTTGCGCCCTTCGGATTGCTTTGTAGCGCGGATAGTCCTGGTCAATCGATCGAGGTGTCCAATTTGGGCACGGCTGCTGCTCGCAGGTGAGGATGAGGGTGTCAGGACCGTCTGGGATGTAGACGTCAACGAGGTCCTGAGAATCGAAGGCGTGAACGAGGCCTTGGCAGGCAGCCACGTTGGATGGGGGGAGGACGAGGAGGTGCGCGTACTACGAAAGGCCGTTGTAAACTAGCTTACAACTACGGCGCCCGAGACGACACTGAGATTCGCAGTTCACGTAGGGCCCAATACTGCTTTTGGCTAGTATGCAGCAGGAACCAAGGCTACGCGTCCATGAGGACAAGTACCGCCCACTGAAGTGCAGGTACTGAAGAGTTCGTCTCTCAAGTGTTGGCGATGTATCGTAGGCTGTCTACGTATCGTAGGGTACAGTAAGGGTGCGCACCACCCGACCTATGGGAGAGGGAAGTGAGTGTGTTTGTTTTGGAACGCCGGCAGCGTTGGGGAGTTTCGACCTAATGTCGCGACTTGAGGTCAAGCGACAGGAGAAAACCTAAATGCTGGGGGCGTTCGACTGGGTCTCACCGAAGCGATGGCGAGCAGAGCTCAAACCTAAGGCTAGGGACAAGATAATATATTAGTTAGGTAAGGAAAAGGAATACAACTGAAGGCTTACTGATCTAGGGACAAGAGGTCGAAACTGAGGTCCCTAGGGCAGCAGAGGCCGGGTTATATACATGGGGAGATAAGGGCAGGCTGTGCGCACTGGTCCGTGCACAGCTGGTCCGTGCGCAGCATGCTGACGCGGCCCCAGGGGCCGGTGAGTCAGAGAGGCTGTGTCAGCGGAGCCCGAGCTGTGCCGTGCACTGCCGCCCCATCTAATCTAATCGTACAGTAGATAACGACGCGTCCATATCGGGCATGTAGTACAGAGGTCGTGGGTTCGAGCCCGCGGAAAGGAAAAATTAAAAAAATGGCTAGGCGCCGTGCCAAGTCGTGACACAGTGCACCTTAAAGCAGTTCTATTCAACTATCACAAAACCTACAAACCCACCTTATAGCTTGATAGTAGAGGGGGGGAGATGATAGCACTTAAGTATGGGGAGGTAATGCTGTTAAGCGCAACAATGACGTGAATAGAACTGGGGGACAGGGTGCCCCAGGATGCTGTCTTATATACATGAGGGAAAACCCCCCAGGGACCGGTAATGGACCCCTGGTACCTAGCTTGGTAAGAATTACTAAGTATCATGTGTCCTATGATGTAATCTATGATGTCATAGTCTGGCCCTGCCCTGCCCTGGGCCTAGGGTCCAGAAATGACCGGCCTATGGCCTAGTGCCTGAGCCTAGCTCCTATCTATGATGTCAGAATGATGTCATGGTCCAGACAGAGTCTGGTTTCTATCTAGAAAAGGTCCGGCATTAGAGTCTAGCCTGATGTGTCCAGAACAAGATCATGTGTCGCTTATTTAAGCGGATAACCCCTTAGATATGCAGATGTACCCATATGCGGACGGATAAGTATGGATAAGTCACTAAACCCTTCAATATGTCCGCAGAAATAGCGGAAAAATGGGGTAAAATTAGGAAAACTGTGACACTTGAAAGGATAAGCACCCCACCAGTAACACTAACTGACCGCATCAATGAAACGGAACATGGGGAGGATGGGTTTGGGTCAACGGGTATTGCGTCCATTGAAGAACAAGTGGAGGACATCGACGATGATGAGTTCATCATTTCCTACTTATCAGGAACACCAATGATCACCAAGTACGAGAAATAGGAATCCCTGGCAGTAAGGGATGTTCCGCTCAAGGAGCGACTCCCCGAACTCTCGTCCGGCTACAAATGACTCCACAACGGCATGATCTGGAAAATACACCATGACATTAGGCGAGTCACAACATCCACTGAACTTGCGGCCTCAAATGCCCAAGGCAAGACAGAAAAAAAGCTACCACTGATGATACCGTCCTACCTACACGATCTCCTCCCCGTCTTCAACAAAGGCACTGCTGCACGACTCCCGAACCACACTGAATACAACCACGAAATCAACCTCAAGGAGGGCTTCGTGGACATGAAGCAACAGGTTTATCCGCTCAACCCGCAACAGCAAAAGGAACTCAACAAGTTCCTCGAGGAGAACCTGAGTAAAGGGTACATTTGCCCTTCGAAATCCCCGTTGGCAAGTCCATTCTTCTTTGTTGGTAAAAAGGACGGTTCACTACGTCCCTGTCAAGACTACCGGCTGCTCAACGAGAACACAGTCAAGGATCGATACCCGCTCCCGCTTATATCGGATCTCCTCGACAAGTTGAAGCACACCAAGGTGTTCACAAAGATGAACCTCCGCGCCGGATACAGCGTTCATCGTACCCAAAACTGATGGCAAACCGCTGTAGCTGTATGAACCAACGGTGATGTTCTTTGGGCTGTGTAATCCCCCCACTATGTTCCAGCGGATGATGAACACAATATTCGCAGACATGCTTCAAGAAGGCTGGCTCTGCATCTACATGAACGAACACGATGTGTTATCGAACGACTTCGACAACATGACCTCTACCTCAAACCGGAGAAATGCGCCTTCGACATCACCGAAGTCGAATTCCTTGGCATGATCATCTGCCCAGGAGAAATCACAATGGATCCTGTCAAACTAGCTGGCATTGCAGACTGGCCTGTGCCGTCCAACCTCAGGCAAGTACGCGCCTTTGTTGGATTTGGAAACTTTTACTGCTGGTTTATCAAAGGCTTCTCGGACAAAGTGCAACTGCTGGTCGCTCTCACCCGGAAGGACGTCGCCTGTACCTGGGGATCTGACCAACAGAAAGCCTTCAAGACCCTCAAAAAGGCATTCCTAGAAGAGCCGGTACTACGCATGCCAGATCCCGACCGACCCTTCGCTATCGAAACCAACGCCTCCAAGTTTGCAACCGGAGCAGTACTACGCCAGCGCAACGACAATGGCGACTGGCATCCTTGCGGATACCTCTCTCAAAGCTTCAATGCAGCAGAGAGAAACTACAACATCTACGACAGGGAGTTATATGCGGTCATCCACGCACTAGATGAGTGGAGGCACTACCTCATTGGCAGCCCATACCCAGTGACGATTCTCAGCGACCACAAGAACCTCACATATTGGAAACAAGCCAAAGACATGAACCAACAACAAGCACGCTGGGCGAGTAAACTGACCGAGTTTGACTTCCGCCTGGTACACGTTCCTGGTACCCAAATGGTGCAGAGCGACACTCTCTCCCGCCGATCCGACCATGACGACGGCTCTAATGACAACACCGACATTGTTATGCTCCCGCCGGAAGTATGGGTCGCTGCCATCGACATTGACACCCGCAACACCATCCTTTCTTTCAAAGACGACCCAATAATGAAGGAGGGACTCACTGCAGCGCGCACCGGAGGAACACCACGCACTGGAACAGACTGGTCCATCAATGATGACCTCCTCTTATACCAGGATTGGGTCTATGTACCCCCAGATGAGTCTCTTCGCAAGCGTCTTGTCTCCCACTATCACAACCTCCCCTCCACAGGACACCCCGGTGTTCAGAAAACCCTCCTCGGCTTGCGCTGTGACTACTGGTGGCCGAGCATGGCCCAGTTTGTTGCTCGCTATGTTAACGGCTGTGGAATCTGTCAGCAAATGAAGGTTAACATGCATCCAGCCCATCCGCCCATCACCCCCATTCGACCCCGCGCAAATGCCAAGCCCTTCAGCACATTCTCGTGCGATTACATTACCGACCTGCCACCGTCCAATGGCTTTGATTCCATTTTGGTCGTAGTGGACCACGACCTTACGAAGGGGGTAATTTTCATCCCATGCAACAAAACAATTGATGCTCTTGGGACGGCAGACGCAATGTACCGAGAGGTCTACAAGTGGTTTGGACTCCCAGACAAGATCATCAGTGACCGAGGACCGCAATTTGCGTCCAAAGTCTTCCAGGAACTTTGCAAAATGACTGGGGTTCAATCAGCCATGAGTACAGCATTCCATCCGCAAACCGACGGCAAGACAGAACGAGTAAACCAAGAACTGGAGATCTACCTCCGCTGCTTCACTGCCAATGACCCGGATAAGTGGGCTGACCATCTTCACACTGTGCAATTTGCTCACAACTCCCGTGAGCATTCCACAACGAAGATGTCCCCATTCAAACTCATGATGGGATACGAACCTCATGGAATACCCACCGCGCACCCCGGATCAAACACGCCCCAAGCGGCTTATCGCCTCAAGGACTTGCAAAACATCCGCGAGGAAGCACATGCGGCAATGGAGATGGCCCAGAATGTCCTGGCCAAGAGAGTAAAAAGGAAGGGGGGTTCCTTCCGTAAAGGTCAGCTGGTATGGCTAGACTCCCGGAACTTGAAGCTGCCGTACCTGTCCAGGAAACTAGCCCCGAGGCGAGAAGGGCTGTTCAAAGTCCTAGATAAGATTGGAACGGTCGCGTACAAGCTAGACTTGCCTAGCACCTGGCGAGTCCACCCCGTTTTCCACGAATGGCTTCTATCTCCCTACTCTGAGATGGAGATCCATGGTCCGAACTACACGAGGCTGCCCCCTGACCTTATCGAAGGCGAAGATAACTACAAAGTCGAAGCCATCATCGGACACCGAGAGAACAAGAGGATGCAGTGCCGCGAATATCGCGTCAGGTGGAAGGGTTACTCAACTGCGGATGACTCATGGGAACCCGAGGCAAACCTGACAGGAACTGCGGACGAAGTGCCAATGGAGTATAAGAAGAGGAAGAACTTGAGCTGAGTCGACAGCAGCTCAACCCAGTCGCTACACCCCTACTCATACCAACATGTCCTCCACCCTCTCGTTCCTCGACCAGTTCAATGCCCCCTCAACCAAGGGCAGAAGGAGGATTTCGATCTACACCCCTAAGCACACCCACGTCGGCAATAGCACTTTGCTGACACTACTTCTCAGTAACCCCACCGATGTCTTCAATAAACTCAAAACCCACAACCCCGAGGCAACCAATGCCACCGACCGCACTGCACTAGAAGCATACCTCTCCGCCCGCCATGAATACAATGAGGCTGTCAAGGCAGCCGATGAGGCCATCAACCACCACAAGCGGCTCCTATGGCGACAGGATGACCGTGTCCTCACCGAGCTCATTCGACTCGACAATCTGAAAGTTGCCCATCGCTTTCAACCGCTCCTACTGCGCAACATCCGGGCGCGACACAACAAATTCATCCCACATGCCATCCCCAACGCATACCTACCCCTACCTGCACCCCTACCGATGTCTACCTTGAGGCGGCCCCCGATCCCATCCCCTTTCCTCCAAGCAATGCCGCGGAGCACTACCATCCTGGCTGACTGGCAACCCAACCCTGGTTGGACCCCGAAGGGAAGCTGCAGGCGATGCGGATCGTCTCGACACTGGGTACGGGACTGTCCAGACGTACGATGCGCAGGATGTGGAAAAGAAGCCCCTGGACACCTGGAGTGAGAGTGCGGAACCAGGCCGATGAAGCGACACGTATCCGCACCACCTGAAGAACCTGCACGACACGTGGGGGTGGTCGTCGACAACGTGTTCCTCGAGGGAATCATCAACGAGGCGAAGGAGAGGAAGGAGAAAGAAAGGGAGACGAAAGCGGTACCTATTCCTCCACTGCGCAGTGCTAACCCCGAACCCCCGACCAGTCCCGTCGCGGGACCTTCGCGCCCCTGCCCCGATACACCCGTCGTCTTTCGCAAAGTCGACCCCGACTGGACACCCGACACCACTCAATGGACGTGGGACAGCTCCTGGCCGAATCAGAAGCACCTCTCTGGCGAGGAATGGATGAACGTAGGGAGGAACGCACGCAAGGAGTGGTTCGACGAAGAGGAGGACGACGGTGTAGATTGGGAGTTGTATGGAGATGGTGAGCAGTAAGCAGTCGAATGGGACTTCGACTCTGGTAGGGGGGTAATGAAACATTTATCTTTCCGTTCCATTTCTTGTATTACTAGCGCCCATACTGGCGCCTATCTTAGCGCTCACCCGCAGGTTGAACATTATGTAGCTTACATAATGGGGTCCATGCGCACTTCGTGCCTGGTATCGTACCACTATGTTTCTTTCTTCACTAACACGACCACATAGACATGATGGTCCGTGCGCAGTCGGTACTTGTATAAGTAGTTGTACCATTAGTCGGTTGAACCCTAAGTTCGACCTGGTTATTCATTCAAGTCTCTGCTCCTCTTCGCTTGGAGTAGTGGTCATTCTCGACTTCCTCGCTCGATCTACTGGACGACGCACTGTCCATAAGTCCTCGCTCGTTGTCTACGAGTCAGGCATCAATATAGGAGTATAGACCGTTGTATCAGAAGTGATGATGAGCAATGCTCAAACCTAAGGCTAGGGACAAGAAAATGTATAAGTTAGTCAAGGTAAGTAAATATATGGGCTTACTGACCTAGGGACAAGAGGTTGAAACTGAGGTCCCTATGGCAGCAGAGGTAGGCTTATATACAGGGGAAGTTTAGTGGAGGGTGTGCACTGTCACGAGTTGACACGGCGTCTAGCCGTTTTTTTAATTTTTTCCTTTTTGCGGCTTCAAACCCGCGACCTCTGTACTACATGCCTGATATGGACGCATCGCTATCTACTGTACGATTAGATTAGATGGGGTGGCAGTGCACGGCACAGCTCGGGCCCCGCTGACACAGCTGCTCTGACTCACCGGCCCCTGGGGCCGCGTTGGCATGCTGCGCACGGACCAGCTGCGCACGGACCAATGCGCACAGCCTGCCCTTATCTCCCCCTGTATATAAGCCGGCCTCTGCTGCCCTAGGGACCTCAGTTTCGACCTCTTGTCCCTAGGTCAGTAAGCCCCTGTACTGACTTACTTACCTTTACTAACTAATACATTTTCTTGTCCCTAGCCTTAGGTTTGAGCGCCGCTCACCATCGCTTCGGTGAGACCCAGTCGAACACCCCCAGCTTTTTAGGTTTTCCCCTGTCGCTTGACCTCAAGGCGCGACATGCACACTGGTCCGTATACAGCTGGTCTGTGCATAGCATGCTGATGCAGCCCTGGGGGCCAGTGAGTCATCATGGCTGTGTCAGCGGGGCCCGAGCTGTGCCGTGCACTGCCGTCCCATCTAATCTAATCGTACAGTAGATAAGGACTTGTCTGTTCGAGCGTATGGTACAGAGGTCGCAGGTTCGAGCCCGTGAAAAGGAAAAATTAAAAAATGGCTAGGCGCCATGTCAACTTGTGACATTACCCCCCCCCCTCAATGGCACATGACCTCATGCAAGGTGCCCTTGCCCATCTCCCACCCGGAGTGGCAGCATGCTTCGGTCAGTGGTGAAGGCATTGAGGCGGTAGGGGGCATTTGGGTTTCTCTGGTGAAAGTCGGCTATGAGGGCCGGCGCATTCACAACGTTGCGTGCCGGTTCCCAGGATGTATGTGAATCGTCATAACCCTTCCACTTGATGAGGTACTGCAGCTGATGCCAGAAGATCCTCGAATCTTTGATCTGCTCAACCTCGTATTCCTCGTTGCCCTCAACCTCAATGGCAGGTGGCTCCTCTGGCTCCTGGCCCGGGATCTCGCTATGCGTGTACTTGCTCAACAAGGAGACATGAAACACTGGATGCACTGGCACCAACTTTGGCAGAACCAACTCATAATCTAAGTCTCCGAGCTTTCGCCGCACGGCATATGGTCCAAGGCGCTTGGGACTAAGCTTCTTGCTCGGCTGTTTCAGCTTAAGGTTCCGGGCATCAAGCCAGACCTTGTCCCCCGGCGCGAAGACTGGTGCCTCCTGCACGTGCTTATCGTAGTACACCTTCATACGCTCGGCTGACAGCTCGAGCGCAGAGCGCGTGTCATCGCGAATCTCCTTCAGGATCTTGAGCCGATCAGCGGCTGCGGGCATCGCAGACATCGGGTTGATCCGTACTTGGATCTCAGGATGGTACCCTTGATGCAGGAAGAAAGGGGAGTGCCCGGTTGCAGAGTGAACTTGATTGTTCAACACGAACTCCGCGAGTGGCAACTGCTTTGCCCAATCATCCTGCCTGTGGCTTGTGAAAGCGCGCAGGTACTGCTCGATCTCCTGATTCCAGTGTTCTGTCTGGCCGTCTGTCTGAGGATGGAACACTGTAAATAGCGCCGGCTCGATTCCCAGTCCCTTGTACACCGCATGGAGATATTTCGAGGCGAACTGGGGACCTCAGTGTGATATGACCTTGGCCGGGGCCCCATGATGCTTGAACACGTCGCGGATGTACAGGTCTGCCGCACCTTCTGCTGTCAGGGTCTCATGACAGGCCGAGAAGTGGACCTGCTTGGTGAAGCGGTCGGCGGTGACTAGGATCGAGTTGAATCCATCAGACCTTGGCAGGCCAACAATCATATCAGTGGTGATGATCTGCCATGGGCGCTCGGGGATCTCGTTCGGCTTCAGTGGACCCTGGGGCTTGGCCGGGAATGTTTTGGTATGGTTGCACACGTCGCAGGTGCTTATGTACTCATTGACAAACTTGGACATTCCTGGCCACCAGTAGTTCCACAACACAAGCTCCAGGGTTTTGGCCCGACCACCATGACCGGCGATTAGCGAGCTGTGGTGGATCTTGACAATATCCTGCTGGAGCTCTGCGTTCTTTGAGACATATACACAGCCATGGAACAGCAGAAGCCCTTGTTTGGCATTCCACTCCTCAAAGCCCTTCTGCAGCCGAGGCGGTCCGAGGTGCTGCACCTTCTCAAGTGCCTCAGCCACTGCCCAATCCTTCTCCGAACATTCCCTGATGCGCTTCAGAAGCGACTGATTGGCTGTCACCAAGGCGTGCCCATGCTGTGTGGTGGCGATGCGGAAGCGCTCCTGTTTGAGGACAATCTGATCAGTGTTGTCATCCTCATCGCCGACCTGATGGCCTGATCGACGCAACAGGGCATCAGCCTTTCCATTCAATGTTCCGGCTTTATGCGTGATACGGAAATTGAAGCGATCCAGGAACATCAACCATCATGCTTGACGACACGTGAGATGCTGTGATGTGTGCCAGTACTCGAGGTTCTTATGATCAGTCATGATCTTGAATTGTGTGGGCAATCCCTCAAGATAGTGGCACCACTTGTATAGCACTTCATGATTGCAAGCATCTTCTTATCATAGATCTCGTAGTTACACTGGGCAGGGTCCATAGCGTGAAACCTGAAGGTGACTGGATGCCATTTGTTGTCATCCTGCTTCTGCATCAGCACACCACCAGTGGCATACCCTGAGGCATCAACCTCGATGCATGTTTCCCAATTAGGGTTGTACAGTGCCAAGACTGGGGTTGTGGCGAAGAGCCATTTGAGCTCATCAAACACATGCTGCTCCTCATCTCCCCAATGCCAGGGGTCGTTCCCAGTGAGTTGGTTGAGTGGTCACGAGATCTTAGCGAAGTCCTTAATGAAGCGGTGGTAAAAGTTGGAAAACCCCTGGAACTTCTGAACATCTTTTTTGTTCTGGGGTACCAGCCACTCATTAATTCCTTTCAGCTTCGCAGGATCCATCGCTACCTCATTGCCACCAAACACATAGCCAACAAAGTCGACCTTGGGAACGTCCCATTCGCACTTCACAGGCTTCAGGAACAGATCATTCTTCTGAAGGTGATGAAAAACCTTGTGTGTGACCTTCTCATGCTCCTTCTTATTGGTGGAGAAGACAAGGATGTCATCCAGGTACACGAGGACCTTGCCATCGATGATGAGATCGTGAAAGATCTCATTCATCATGACCTGGAAGGTTGTGGGGGAAATTGGTGAGACTGAAGAACATCACCAAGGGTTTGTACAGTCCCCGGTTAGTTATAAAGGCAGCCTTCCACTCATCACCAGCTTTGATCCAGACATTGTTGTATTCCCATCTGATGTCGAACTTCGTGAAAAGCATAGCGCTGTGGAGCTTGTCTACCATCTCGGCAATCAGCAGCAGCGGATAGCGATTTTTGACAGTGATCACATTCAGCTGACGATAGTCTTGTACGGGTCGAAGTGTCCCTTCCTTTTTTTTGATGAAGAAGGGGGATGAAATGGGCGACTTTGACTCTCGTATGCAGCCTTTTACCAGCTGCTCCTTTAGGAACTTGTCCAGCTCCTCCTGCTCATTGTTTGACAAGGGGTACATCTTCGAGTGGAACATCGAGTAGCCCAGCACGAGTTCGATTGCATGACCATATGGCTTCCTTTCAGGTAGCCATTCTGATGCTTCCTTGGAGAAGACATTCAGGAACTTGTGATACCGCTTTGGTACAGACTCCTCGGCGGTTTTGACGACCTTCTTCTTGATCTCTTCCTCAGCGAACAGCTGGGAGTATGTATGCCCTGCTGCGACGAATAGCTGAGGGGTGCCGGGAGGCATGATACCTTGCTCCCAGGCTTCGATCAGATCAGCTTCACACCACTTGATCTCCTTCGGATCTTCTTTGGGTTTGAAGTCAGGGAGTATCTTACTCCAGTAGGCACCAATGACTAACCATTTGGACTTCGGCGAACATCTGCGTACCATGGACCTAACCCCCGTATCACACACAGTCACTGCTTGCTCCATTCAGCTAGTCTTCCTGGTGCTGCACGTTTTAGGGCATTGTGACAGTTTGAATGAATCTGTCTCCCAATCTATTTCAGGGTTGTGCTCTCATAGCCAATCCAACCCGGCGATCACATCCTCTGGACCTATGTTCATGACTGTAAACACCATCTTTTCGACATGGTCTCCTATCTGCATCTGTAGCATGGCTACTTCCGAGATGCTTCTGAAACATTTGTCTTTCCGTTCTATTCCTTGTACTACTAGCGCCCATACTGGCGCCTGTCTTAGCGCTCACCCGCAGGTTGAACATTATGTAGCTTACATAATGGGGTCCGTGCGCACTTCGTGCC